AAATTAGCAAATGAACCCTAATATTCCTACACTTCCCCACATAAGGACACATATATGTTCTGAAGAGAACTCCCAGATCTTAAAGTAACTTGGCATGATTTGGAATAACTAACGCTTATTAACATTAAGTGGGATATCTGGAGGAAGGTAACATTCTCAAGCTTTGTCAATTTGTCAAGCTTTCTCAATTCTCAATACTTCTCCTTTGGGATGGTTATTAAATTGTACAAACATAAAACAGAATTTGTGGAACTGGCCAACTTTACCTCAGAAGACAAGTTATCAGGGAAATACTCCTTGTCTTAGTTCGCATTAACGAAGGGTTAAAAGTTATAAATCACTTCAGAACGATCAGGTAGGTTTTTACTGCAAAATTGATAGTTTCATGGTCACCATTTGCTAGACTGGCTTTCAATTCCAGCTTTATTAATTCAGTTTAAATTCTACTGGTTTCCATGGTTGATTTGAACCTTGTGACCCCAGAGCATTGGCCTTAGTCCTGGCCCTTGCATTAATGGTTCACTGATATTTGCATTAGATTGCCATCACCCTGGGGAAAGAGAAATCGGAGGTATGAAGAGAAGTCAAAGCAATCCAGAAACATTGATCATTTTGATCACTAAGTATTTGATTACCATTCATTATGTTAGCCTTGGATACGTACTAGCTAACATTTTGCAAATTCATATGCAGATCTGATTTGTAATAGTATACACTAAAATTACTGGATTTCATTTGAATGTGATTGTGCATATGAGATTTTGATTCTGCCTCCATTGTGAAAAACAGCATAATGTACTGGCATGAACTAATTTTGTTGATAGGAGAAATTGGAAGTGATGAAACATAAATACAGTACACTAGTTTTATTTTGCCTTCTTTCTTTTTGCATAGCTATAAAGTAATACACAATGTACTAGTCATTACCATGCTAATGAAATATATTGGTGTGGAATTTCAATAATGTGATATGTTTTTACTTAAGTAAAATCAATTGGAGAATTTGCTGTATTGGCCATACAGTTGTGGTAGTTTTAGCATCCATAGATGCCTGGAAAGAAGTCTTGGATTTATAAAATGCCTTTCGTGATCTTAGTTTGCCTCAAAGCACTTTACAAACAATGAAATAGTTTTGAAATCTATTTTACTTGTCATTAGTCTTGTGTGAAAACCCAAGGCTTTATTCCAATCAAGTGAATTTACATCATATTTTGGGGGGGTGTTTTAAAAATTTGCATTATCGCCAAATTATTTTAAAGCACAAAGCCAGCACAACTGTTGGCGTAAATACTTCTATTCTGAAATTACTCAAACAGTATGTAACTGTTACGACAGTTAATTCTAGCGTCACTTTGTTTTGGAAAAGTTTATCCTTTCCAGAAATTTGTGAGTTTGGTTTTGCAGAACTTGCATTTTTATTTTTAAAGTGAGTAGTTTCCTTGTTACGTTACAGAAAGATAAATTGATACCATATGTTGGTCTAAAACAAAAAAGCGACTGTTTCTGGTTGAATGAGTTGCAGCTGGTGCCTGGGTTTATGGGGGTGGGGGAGGAGGGGGGAACCTCCAAACATTAAGGACAGTTTTGACAGACTTGGAGATAAAATTTAAAAAACACTGTCAAGATGTATGCAATACATATCCATTGTACCAAAAAGAACAAATTTGGCACTCTTTTTAAATTGGCAAGTTGTGTGCCATTCTCAAGTTTAGATGTCTATATTGGTGTGCATGATTTTGATTAAACATGGTTCTTGGAGAATGCTTGAGGTTTAAGCAGTGAATAAAATATGCATCGCAGCTGACTATCGAAGTCTCAAGTATTAGCACCCTTGTTTATTTTGTCTATGTAAAGCTGCTGGTAATAGTTTTGCTATCAGAATTCTTAAGTAACCTACTCATTCACTTACTCCAGTTTAAACTTTTGGTTTCCGCATACTGTGAAAATTTGTTTCAAAGGATTTTGCTCACTAATATTTATTGGCTGAGGCAATTTGGATTATCTTTAGACATCCTTCCATTGTCGTTCCTACATAGCAAATTTTGCAGAAATCAAGTACATTCTATGCATTTCAAGTCTTCAAACAAGAAAACAGCCGAATGGAGCAGGAAACTTCCACTGGATTGATAACCACATAATCTGATGTATTGTATTAAATTTAATTTGTTGGAAAGGTCTCTCAAACTGGTCCCCTTTACGGAGTAGTTAAGTGTAGCCCTAAAATGTTAGCACCAGAACACAAGTCAGAACAAGGCAGCACAGTATGTGTCATAATTATTCCCCATTCTCGGAATCAAACTGTGGTAAGGAGATGATAATGAACACAAGTGCCGAAACCAATCACTGATGTCCGAGTCTAAACTTTCCGGTCTCCCAATGACGAATGCATTAATGTGCTCAAAATATCAGTAGTATTGTTTTTTGCATCAGAAACATTTGGTTTACAGTTGACACTAGTCTGAGTTAATTCAGTGGCATTTTATTCAAAACATTAACTTCTCAAACAATATGCAGTATATGAAATATAGCCCGCATTTACCTGCTAGGCTCCCTGAAGAAGGTTAATACCCGTAACGCTGACTGTTCCTTTCCTCCAGATGCTGCCTGACCTGCTGTGTTCTTCCAGCCTCCTGTTTGTCTACCTTGGATTCCAGCATCTGCAGATTTTTTTTCTTGGCTCAACTCTTGACTGCTGTGAGCAATATAGTGATGGATTCCAAACCTCATTCTTGCATATTTATTTGAAAACGTAATATCAGTTGCTTTTTACAGCTGTAAACCTCAGGCTGCAATATTACTCATGAGTAGTCACAATAATTTGGCATGTGGATTTTGAGTTTGGCAATTGGGAGAATAGAGCAGAGTTAAAAGTACACTGGTCATTTTGCTGAGACTGAGATTAGTATTGCACATGTTTCATTATCTCCCAAATTCTTGGTGTACCACAAGCTTCTTTCTTTTATTCACTTAGTGTGATCAGTCAAGTGCCATACAAATCATTGTTGAGGTCTTGACTGTTTAGGGTGGGGGAGTTCAAAACTAGGGAGCATATTTTTAAGGTGAGAGGAGAAAGTTTTAAAACGTATGTGAGGAGAAGCTTTGTTTACACAATGGTTCATGTATGGAATGAGCTGCCAGAGGAAATGGTGGATGTTGGTACAGTTACAACATTTAAAAGACATTTGGATAAATACATGAATGGGAAAGGTTTCAAGGAATATGGGCCAAATGCAGGCAAGTGGGACTAGTTTAGTTTGGTAACATGGTCTGCATGGTAAGTTGGACCAAAGGGTTTGTTTCCATGCTGGGTGAATCTATGACTCTACTATGACTATAACTTGGATGAGGGAATTGAATGTATGCTTGCTAAATTTGCTGATCTCACAAATGTAGGTAGGAAAATATGTTGTGAAGAGGGTATAAGGAAGCTGCAAAAGAATATAGATAGATTCAATGGGTGGGCAAAAGCTTGGCGAAAGGAGTAATTGTGAACTTGTCAACTTTTTGGCAGAATAGAAAAGCAATGTACTATTTAAATGGAAAGAGATTGCTATACTCAAAGGTATAGAGTTTCTTTCACCAAGTTGATGATCCTCCAGGCATAGTTGATGTTTGTCTCTGTGTGTGGCCAGCCCATACAGCACAGAGTCCTAAACTACATAGCTGCTCAGGAGATGTACCTGCTTTGTCTTCTCTCATAGAGCAATAAAGGTAAAGTCGCCATAGTCCTACCAGACTATATTGTTGCTGTTCCATTAGAGACGCAACTGGTGGATAGGTTAACTGAAAGTCACCACATCTCTGGCAATGGGAAAGGTCGAGAAGGAGACTCCTTCATGGTAACCTAAACCAATGTGGAAATTGAATCTGTGCTCAAAAACAGAAGTTGCTGGAAAAGCTCAGCAGGTCTGGCAGCATCT